TATATTTCACATGGATGATACATGCAACAAACAGCAATGAGAAGTGTTTGATTAAAACTTCATAAAACTTGATGCTACAATTATAATGGCAAAAGGCTTGTTACCACATACACACTTGATAAACAGAAAAATTCCCTTGCTTCTAGGTTAACATTTAAAATCTGAGTTACACAAGTAGAAAAGAAATATTTCCAACTTTTCATGGGGTCACAAAAGCTCTACAGCTAAAATTATCTCAGCCAAAATCTAAAATGAAAGAAATCTATTTGATAAAAAGAAATAGTTTCTAATTGTCCAAGCAACAGAATAAAAACAAGATATTTGATTCATTATACAATTTTTATTCTTTAAGGAAATATTCTCTCCGAAAATAAAGAGAATGTTGGAAACAAGTCACCTAATTATTCAAAACTCCCTGGGAAGTGCAAAATGTTATGAAATAAATTGCCAAAATATAACCAACATTTACTTATTACTGATTAACTCCTCTTTTCACCTGAATAACAGATGCGCTGCAACAGATCGAGGAGTCTACGTGAGGTGCTGGAGTTGTTGTTTGGGTATATCTATCCAGGCACATTCCAGACCTGTCCATAAGTGAATTGTTTGTCAGGTGTGGCTGAAAGTTATTTAGTGATGTCTCCAAATTACTTGACATATGTTTAAAGGGGATTTTAATCAGGTGGGCATGAGAGCCAACCAAGCATTTGGAATTCAAATGAGTGTGTGCTCAGGGGAACTAGTTTCATGTGGGCAGCAATATTTTACAAGAACAAATCATCTCCACCAAGAAATGTGGCAAACAGAAAGAAGTGAAGCTGTTCTGCAACAAACTGTGTATATCACACCTGTCAAGACAGATCCCTCTTTAAATTCCTTGCAAACAGAACATACATGCCATAACAGAACAACCACAACCTATCAAAACACTCTAGTCATAGGCTGGTTCCATAACTTCATGCAGTGTTCTCTACACACAAACTAGACCATCTGCCTAAAAGAGCTGGGAAATGCCATTTGTCAGATAAGGCTACACAGTGCCTGTCTCCCATGTGTCAAAGACAATGTTCTCTGGCCCAGGTGATGTGCTGTAATCAATGCTGTAGTGTCAATCATTGTTGGTCCATGACTATGACACCCACATGGAATACACACTGTTCTGTAAAGTGCGTTCTACTGATGGGTTGAGTAGTACCAACATTGAATTGAGAGATGCAATATTCATGTTCATTGTACCACTTATGAGCTCCCAGAGTTTTTATTTACAGCTAATGTCCATCTGAATCTCCCATACCCTTTGTATACCTTTGCTACTTCAGAGATATGTCATACATAAGTCACCTGGTTGAGCCATTCAGTATAATGTTGTCACTAATCTTTATCTTAAAAACTTTTTTGGTGTTTGCACCAAACGATAAGAGATGGTGGCTTCCATTTAATGCCATAGAAAGAGTAGTCGGAGATGAGTAGGGTAGAGTTTAGGATGGTCAAACAGACACTCTAAAGTCATATAACATTTTGACTTGAAACTTGAAGTAAACTTCAATCTATGTTCCACTGATGCAGATAGATTAACAGATAAAAACTTCAAAAGCCAAAAGAACAAAAAACAAAACAAAAGTAAAAAGGTAAGTCTTGTGGAATAATGAAATGCTTACGATTGGCCTTCAGTTGATATTTAATCTATTTTATTTAATGTCTATCTCAGCAATGGAAAATCAAGTTGCCATTTTTTTTCACTCCTATATATCTTTTTTAGTCCATGTAACATCAACAAATTAGTTTGGGCAAATAGTTTGTTTTTAGAAACAAATTTGTTGGTAAATAGATTCTTTTTATTCTCAAAGCTCTTATTTTTGTCTATAAACAACAGTTTTTAAAAATATTCTTTCAAACTTTTTTCTTTTATCATTAGGTAAAAAGTTTATCATAATGGCTACTTGGGAAACTTTTTGTATACCAATGAAAAGAAAAAAAAAACAGTTTGTTTATTTAGTTATTATTTTTATCTGTGATTAAGTACAATTATTTCATAACTTTTATTCTTAAAACAAAATTAAAAAGAAAAAAAAAAGATTTCAAAGTAGGTTGGAGTTCAAATCTTATCAATAACCTTTTAGTTTTTAACAAGTACTAAATATTAAGGACTGAAAATGACTGTTCGATTTCTGAAAAATCAATACAAAATAAGTACTTATATTCTTACTTTTCGGTACCTTCATTTCTGGCCACCATGGACTTGAATAATGTTCATTAAATATTATACCATAAAGAAAAGGATATTTTTTTTAAAAGAATCTTTGCCATTTTCTACAAGCAGAAAGTGAACGAGTTTACAAAATGGGGGCCATATAGAAAAGAAGAAACAAACGAGAGAGATATGAACACATTAAGAAGATGGCCTGTAACATTTGCACAAATCTCTTAACCATATCCAAACTTTTTAATACAAAATGGAGTCAATTTCTAATATGAAGAAGAAGAATCTATTTCTACTTACCATGGTTGCAGTTATTTATCACAAATGAAGAGAGTTTCGTTTACTTCCAGTGAGGTAGAGAAAGAGAGTAGATGAAGAAATCTGTTTATAGAACTACAACGTCAGATATGGCCAACCTTCTTAGCAGCAATAAATACCTTGTATTAATTGTCAAACGAAAAGATTAAGTATCTTCTAGCAGCTGCTTCTGCCGTGGACTACTGAGTGAGTAAAAAATGCCAGCAGATTCTAAGAATGTTTGCTTGCCTCTAGTGAGATGGGTTGATTAGTTAAGCGTTGGCAGTAGAGATTTGTCCCAGCAGAGATTAGTTTATCGGGGTCTGCAGGGTCTTTTTAGCCGCTAGAATGGCCTCACTGAAAAAGTTCTTTAAGAAAATGGGCTAAGTTCTTCAGAGTTTTCTGTTTTCTTTTAGTTAGGAAAGTTAGAAATAAAATAACTTCCAAATCTCTACTGACAAACCCTAACCTTGTTGTTACTGGAAGCGAAGGCAAGCTGCTGCTACTACGGCTGCTAGTGATAGGCAATGGAAATTTGATAAAGAGGCACCTTCTCTCTGCCTTACCCTCAGCAGGTGAAAAGCTGCTTTGGGGAAAGCCTTACTCAGAATGGAGTGAGGTAAGTCAGTCAGCTGGTTGGCTTCTCATTAACACTTAACAGATCAAAAAGCAAAAAGCCAATACAGGGAAATCTAAAGAAGTTAAAAGGAGAGGAGGAACCCCCAGAACCCTTGAAAAGAAAATTGCTTTCGAAGGATGAAGGATACATCAAAAAATTAAATAAAAGTTGCAAATTCAGGTAGGTAAGGAATTTTTTTAAATCTATATTAAATAAGAAATATGTCAAGCAATTTTTCTTGTGGGGACAATGCAGATTTGGTCAGGGCTAGAGCAGGGGAGAAGGTAACAGGATCAGCCAATCAAAGTTCAGTTGTGAGATTTGAATCTGACTGACATACACATCATTATTATTATACACTGATTTATTCAAACTGGTATCCTCATCTTGGTTGTTATAGTCACAATATTTCTTCTATTTCTTAGATGAGGAATTATCATTATTTTATAATGATTTATTTATACAGATGTCCTCATCTTGGTTGCTATAGACACAGTGGTTTCATCATTGTAACCAATCTTTAGTTCCTGCCGAGACTAATTTCTACTGCCAACACTTAACTAATAAACCCATCTCACTAAAGGTAAGTGAACATTCTTAGAATCTGCTGGCATTTTTTAATCATTCCGTAGTCCATGGCAGAAGCAGCTGCTAGAAGATACTTAATGTTTTCATTTGGTAGTTAATACAAAAAAAGATTAGAAAATTAAAGCTAATTGTTTCTTTTTGCTAATTTTAGCAAAGTCAACATATTTGCTGCTTGTTCTTCACAGAAAAACTGTTTTTATTTGTTTCCCACAGCCAGTGCCGTTTTCAAACACTGAATTTTTTACTCCATTTTGGCAAAGTTTAACAAATATAATCACAAAAAAAGTGTATAAGTGTATAATATTTTTTTCTATTTTCACCACTATTACCATATACTCCCTTTTTCCAGTGATTTTTATTATTTTAAAAAGCTATTTTTACAATTTTAATAAAAGCCAAATCTATGAAACTGGATTTATACTTTTTTTTCTCAAAAAATTGACAATAAAAATGTTGAACACTATTAGATTATTTGTTTACAACAATAATTTTATATTTGCAAAAAATTATAAAAATATGAGAACCAACTACAATGCAATATTTATTATTTACCAAATTATAAAGAAATAAAAAAAAAATAATGTGAAACAATAATTGTAAATTTTGTAAAAATGCATTTCCTGGACAATTCTTTGGATTTGTTCTTGTCATATAAATTCACTAAAATAGATTGGCAACATCTGAATTTTTACCTATTTTTTATCTTGAGACTTGACAACAAAAATGTTAAACAATATTCATTTATTAGACTGACAAATTATTGTTGTAAATAAACAAAGTGTAAAAAACATAACCACAAAAAGAGGGAGCAAACAGTAGTTGTGGTGGGAAGAGAAAAAAAACATCCTGTTGACACACCATGTTTTTGCAGACACATCTGTTAAACTTTGCCTTTGTTTTCTTTTGTGCCTTTTACAGAACTATCCACTGAGGTTGGTTCCTTTGATCTCAATGAGAGCTGATGAAAAATTCAGCCTAACTATTCCAGAGTTCCAAATAGACCAATGGAAACAAAGGGTGTTGGAAATCATATGACCTGATAAAATCTATTAAAAGTAACAACAGTAAAGATTATTTTGTGTAGATAACAAGCATTTCAAAATAGCTACTGTGTCTCTGAGGTTCAATTAAAATTCATTTTCCTTTTCTGGTTTAACTTTGAAGGTCCCTAAAATGGTTTTAAAATATTATCAAAATTATTACATGATAGGTGTTGGCTGTTTTATTCCTTGTAAAGGAATAAAACAGAGCCAACACCTATATCCCTGAATCTTAAGAAGCTCAGCAAAGAAAGGGGCTTAACTCTTGTTTTCCTTGTTCAATTTAACTCTTTAATAAATTATGACAAGTAGAGGCTTTTTTTCTATATTTTCTTCTTTGCCTAACATCATGAATGAACTCTTCTAGAAAATAATTTTTGCTTTATTGTCTTTATTTTAGAAATATGAATGGTATTAAAAGGGAAACCAGCAAGAGATTTCTTCCCACACAGGAAGTTTACCATAAAAAGTGCATAAAGTAAGCTGGGACTTTTTTTTTTGTATTTTTCCGCTTTTGCACATTAATTTTGCTAAATGTTTGGTACATGAATTGTCTTGTTTTAAAGGAGGGCTATGTCTTTAAAGAAAAATAATGAGAAAAAGAAAAACATTTTCATGATTCCCATTTTAGATACTTTTTTAATTTATAAAAAAAGAAAAAAAAAAATATATATATAATTATTTTTTAAAAAATTATAACATAAGTATGTTATAAAATCACTACAAAAATAGCCATTTGTTTCAACACACTCTGTGTCTTATCAACACAGAGTGTGTTGAAACAAAATGGCTATTTTTGTAGTGATTTTATAACATACTTATGTTATAATTTTTTATAAAAAAATAATTATATCTGCTTACTTTGTATTGAGCACTCTTTTTAAGAATAGTAATTGTTGGTTTATTCCGTATATTCAATTATATATTATATATATATATATATATATATATATATATATATATATATATATATATATATATATATATGTATGTATGTGTGTGGAGGCATGGTGAAGTAATGGATAGTGTCTGAGATTGAGGAATTGGTAGAGCCAAGTTCAAACTCCAGCCGCGTTCATTTTATTTGCTTATATGCAAATACTCTTAGGAAAACTAAGACTCCATCTCTTCTCTTACCTTCCACCAGCTACAAAACAAAAAAAAAACATCAGAACAAACTGGGCCCTATAGCCTTGGTTTGCAACCAATTTAGAAGGACAACTCTGAATTCAAAACCTGAAGAGATACATTTGGGGACCTTGTGGCACTCCATGTGTGCCAGTTCTCTGTATTCCACTCTTCCAAAAAGTGTGGTTACTTCTGCACAACCCTTCATCACTATAAGAAAATCAGGTGAGTTGTCTGCCTGTTCAGTTCTAAGAACCAAATTGCTGAACCCTCATATGTCAAGAAGGATCACAGAGTCCAGTGTATATATATATATATATATATAGAACAGTAAGATATATAATCTGGTGTTCTTATTGATATTTTTTATTTTTACAAAACAGTGCTCAATGTAAATTTACAGAGCATAAATATTATAAATAAACAGATTGAAAATATGGTTTTTTCGCTATACAGTAATAACCATGTTTCAAAAATGAAAGCTAAAAAAATAAATTTAATTATATAATTAAATTAAAAGCATTAGTTTCATCTTCAAGCGAATATTGGAATAACTTATTTTTAAATTTTTTTTTTAAAAATAAGTTATTCCAATATTCGCTTGAAGATGAAACGGAACTAATGCACACACACACACACACACAAAGGAAAAAACAATTACAAATACAACTAAATTCTTGAACACATATTTTTAGATGATAACAATTTGAAATATAATTGAGATTTTGTAAAATATCAAATTTTTTATATGATTTTTAAAATTATTTCATAATATTTGCATAACCTAACATCTGAAATAAATATAACAAAAAATGTTGAGAAAATGCAATTTAAAAAAAAAATTAGTTCACATAAAAAGAATCTGTGAAAAAGAAAATATTTTGAAAAAAAAAAAAAAAAGAAATATTTTCAATATTTCTTTGTGATATTTATGTATTCATAATGTATAAAATCAATACAATGAAGAACTTTAATATCAGCAAAATTTGTACTAGAGACCCATAAAAAACTCAAAATATTTATAAACCACCCACCTCAAAACAAATGTTACATTAGCGGATGAAAATTAAAAAGCAAAATAAATTTTTCATTACTGTTTAGGAGTTAAAAAGATCTAAAAATTAGATTTTGTCTTCAAACGTCTCTATATTATAAAAGAGAAAACTTTAGTAAAATTGTGAGTGAATGGTGATGGGTAGTGAATGGTCTGAGGAAAGCTTGCTGTCCAATAATATTGTGATTGTAAATTTACTTTTAACATCGACCATGTTTATACAACATTTGATTCAAGCTGAGAATTGAATCTGGGCCAAAATTGTTTTACTTTATGTCAAAATAGACAAACAGCTTTAGTCTTATTAAACAAGGCTATTATCAACAAAAGTGTCAGCAATTGAAAGGAAAGAAATTTAGAATAACAAATTTTATTAACTGCTCAATTAAATAAAACCGAGTTCCTAATGACAACATGAACAAGTCATTTGTTAATGAACAATTCCCTTTTCTTTCTCTCTGCTCTTTAATTAAACGACAACAAGAAATTAAAAACAAATTTCAGGTTGACCAAACACAATTAAGAAAGCACAACAAATGAAGCGGTGGGTGTGGGATAAAATATTTATAAATGGACA